ATAAATGTACGTGCGGATTACAGTGGGTGAGCCGACAAGGCCGCGATAGACAACTATATACTAAAAACTGAAATCCGACAAGGCCACATACTATCCAACTGGACATAACTGTCTGCAGACCTCTAATAGAAATACAATTGTATAAAGACGTGACTGAGCCACGTCATACCCATATATACATGTACAAGCATATCGTACCAAAATCAAAAGCAGCTCCGGATCAAGTGGAGCACGCCAATTCTCGTTGATCAAGGATCCTAAGAAGGGGGACTGTCAGCTTGCCTACCTGCACCTGCTGGCATGGAATGCAGGCCCCGTGAAATAGGGCGTCAGTACGAAAAATGTACTGAGTATGTAAGGCATGAAAGTCAGTATGTAAAAGATATAGATGGAACATGGAATAAAGAAATCCATCTGTAAATTTGAATAATTTTGTAAATTCTGAAACATTTATAATGTCATGCACGTGCATATAAATATCGTGTCATGCATAAGTATGGGTGTACATAATATCATCAAGTATTTGAGGGCATCCCGTCAATATCGTCTGGGGCACTGTGGGCAATATCATCAACGTATACCAACTGATCAGGTGGTGGTGCGTATATAATGTCGTAACCTTTTTCCATATCCCATTTACATGTATATACATATAAATATGCGTATATAACGTGATAAGGAGATTCAAGAATTACTAAAAAACAAGAAAATCAAGAAACGGAAGCTAAAAGAAAATAAAGAAACGAAAAAGGACGGAAAATTAAAGATAGATTGAATTCAAGAAAGAGTTTCTTGAATTCAAGAAGTCTGTTCTTGAAGTTGAATCCTAACAACAACAATTAGCTAACAAATAACTAATCGCCTTTGGTAAAGAATTAAAAATAAGAGATAGATTGTGAAACCCGACCCTTTAGAATAACAAGAACAACAATAAGCCTAAACTTATCACATTTCTTGGATACCTAGAAGTGGTCTAAGATTTCGAAAGAGTTTAATCTTACCACCTTAAGTTGAGTCTTGAAGGTTGAAGAATAAATCCAAGAGTAGCCACACACAAGAGTGCAAGAAAAATCTCATAATTTTTATTGATAATAGTCTGAATAATCTAAAAGCAAAGAAGATACCCCGTTATATAGGGAAGGGGTCACGAAATTCTACATAAAAAACAAGGAAATAAAGTCCTAAACTACTTTGGACAACAAATCCAACTATCATAGGAAAAGGTAAAACTCTAGGAAACAAAAACCAAGTCAATCTTGGAAAGTAATTCCAATAATCTTAGGAAAAGAAAAATAAAACCTTAACTACCTAGGAAAACATAAAATATGTCCTAACAAACTAGGAAACAAAATAAGGAACTTTGACTCCTTCTCCTATGTTTTAGCCGCCCCTCCCTGAACTGACTTGGGCGCCAAGTTGGCTCCTTTGTAAATTGATTTAGGCGCCAAATTTAGGCCCTCCTTGACTGGTGCTTGGACCTCAATCTACCTACTCTTGGACTTGGACTTAGACCATGAAATGAGTGTAGCACTTAGCTAAATCCTCTCCTTAATTCTTGAGCTCATCTTCTACCATTAACGCCTTTTTGATCTCCCATTGAAGCCCAACAACCTTGTCTTGCTTCTCCTTATCTTGAGACCTTATGAATGGCTTTCTTGGTGCTTCTAAAGCTTTATCCTTGTCTGTGGAACTATCAGTACATCACCGTGGGGAGCAAATGTGTTGTTTGTGAGAAAGAAAGACGGTTCCTTACGGATGTGTATTGATTATAGGCAGTTGAATAAGGTGACGATCAAGAATAAGTACCCGCTCCCAAGGAGTGATGATTTATTTGATCAGTTGCAAGGTGTTAAGTATTTTTCAAAGATAGACTTGAGGTCCGGGTACCATTAGGTAAGGTTTAAAGAGGAAGATATTCAAAACACAGCATTCAGGACCAGATACGGGCACTTTGAGTTTCATGTTATGTTGTTCGGGTTGACCAATACCCCAACAGTATTCATGGATTTGATGAACCGTGTGTTTAGGCCCTTTTTGGATCTGTTCGTAATTGTTTATCGATGATTTATTGGTGTATTCTCGTACAGAGGTTGAACATGCAGATTATTGCATACTGTGCTCAGAACTCTACAAAAAGGGAAGTTGTATGCAAAATTCTCTAAATGTGAATTCTGGTTAAACTCTGTAGCTTTCTTTGTGCATATCATTTCAGGTGAAGGCATCTGGGTGGATACACAAAAGATTGAGGCAGTGAAGCCTAAACCCACAACACCAACGGAGGTTCGTAGCTTTCTCAGTTTGGCAGGCTATTACAGGAGATTTGTAGAGAGATTTTCTTCCCTTTCACCACCTTTGACAAAGTTGACTCAAAAGGGAGCAAAGTTTCGATAGACTGATGCTTGCAAACGGAGTTTCCAGACATTGAAGGATAGATTAACTTCAGCACCGGTTCTAACGCTCCCAGAAGGGACCGATGATTATGTTACCTATTGTGACGCTTCAGTCATTGGATTGGGTTGTGTCCTGATGCAACATGGGAAAGTAATTGCATGTGCTTCAAGGCAGTTAAGGAAGCATGAGCGGAATTATCCGACCCACGACCTTGAGTTAGCTGCAGTTGTCCATCCACTTAAGATCTGGCGGCATTATTTATATAGTGTGCATGTTGATGTATTCATATATCATAAAATCCTACAATATATCTTCAAGCAAAAAGAGTTGAATTTGCAACAGAGGAGATGGCTTGAGTTATTGAAAGATTACGATGTTAACATTCTCTACCATCCAGGGAAAGCTAATATTGTAGCAGACGCCTTAAGTCGCCGATCTATGGGTAGCTTAGCATGTGTAGAGGCCAGAAAAAAGCAATTAACTAGAGATAGTCATCAACTAGCTTGTTTGGGGGTTCGGTTAGTAGATTCTATCAATGGTGGAGTTGTACTCCAGAATACTGCAAAATCATCTCTCATAGATGAAGTAAAGGAGAGACAGTACGGTGACCCAGAGTTGGTCAAGTTGAGAGAGCGAGTTCTGCAGCAGAAGAAGCCGTTATTAGAACTCAAGGGAGATGGAGTTCTCAGATACAGGGTCTGTTTATGTGTTCCAGATGTAGCAGGGCTACAAGACAGGATTATGTCAGAGGCACATTATTCGTGGTACTCCATTCACCCTGGGTCAACGAAGATGTATCATGACATTAAGGAGGTATACTGGTGGAACGATATGAACAAGAACATTGTTGAGTTTGTCGCTCAGTGCCCTAGTTGCCAGCAGGTGAAGATAGAGCACCAGAAGACTGGAGGACTAGTGCAGACTATAGAGATCCCGGCATGGAAATGGGAGGCGATAAACATGGACTTTGTCACTGGTTTACCTCATTCTTATTATAAGTTCGATTTCATATGGGTAATAGTCGATAGGCTCACGAAATTAGCTTATTTCCTACCAGTTAGATCTACATATACAGTAGAAGATTATGCAAAGTTATATATTAAAGAGATAGTGTGAATACACGGAGTACTAGTATCTATTACATCTGACCGTGGGGCCCAGTTTACAACACATTTTTGGAGGTCATTTCAGAAAGGTCTAGGAAATCAAATGAATCTCAGCACAACTTTTCATCCACAGTCTGATGGACAAGCCGAGCGCAAAATTCAGACGTTCGAGGATATGTTACGAGCATGTGTATTGGATTTTAAGAGAAGTTGGGATGAACATCTACCTCTTATAGAGTTTGCATATAATAACAGTTACCACTCCAGTATCCAGATGGCTCCGTACGAGGCTTTGTATGGGCGTAGGTGCAGATCTCTTATATGGTGGTTTAATATTGGAGAATCTGGGTTACATGGGCCAGACCTGGTTTAACAATCCATAGAAAAGTAAAGCTTATCCGGGATCGACTGTTGACAGCTCAGAGTCGTCAGAAGTCATATTCTGATGTGTGGCGACGAGATTTAGAGTTCGGGGTTAATGACTAGGTATTCTTAAAGGTGTCACCTATGAAGGGTGTGAAGAGGTTTGGCAAGAAAGGCAAACTTAAACCACGGGATATTAGGCCTTATAGGATCATTCAGAGAGTGAGCTAAGTAGTTTATGAGTTAGAATTGCCCTCGGTGTCACGCCTCCTTTTTACTACCCCCGAAAGGGGTATAAGAGAGTTTTTTTCCAATTTAAGTGACACTCAAAACGGGATTATTTATTAAAATTCAGAGTCGCCACTTGGGATAATTTATGGTGTCCCAAGTCACCGGTTAAAAATACCGAATCGAGGAAGTTTTGACTCTGTATTAATGTCTGCGAACACAAAAATTCAGGAAAGGAATTTTGTAACCCGGGAGAAGGTGTTAGGCATTCCCGAGTTCCGTGGTTCTAGCACTGTAGCTTTGATCATACTTGGCTTAAACAAATTGATTGATTACTGATTTTAGAACTTATATGCATTTGCCTCTTTTAATTAAGAAATTATCTTGAAATGGGTCACGCGCATGTGTACCCATTTGTTTAGTGCGTCAAAAATCATGTCACGCGAACATGTCCACAATTAATAAGGCTATATTGTTATTAAGAAAGTTTGGCCAAAGTTGCACGAACGCATACTCCGGTTTTGTTTTTAAAATCGTAATCATGCCATGTGAACGTGTCCAAAATTACAATGATACATTAAACGGGCCTAAAGTAACTACGAG